CGGTTTCTATATGCAACATATTTCTTTAATTTTCTTATTTTGGTATCATTAATATAAAATCACATGAGCAACATTGTGGTTACTAGATTCCCCCCATTATAAATTGACTACTACTTCTGTTTATTAAAGTATATTATCAAGAGAGTCGTATCACAAGGAGACAAAAGATATCTATAACACAAATTATCAACAAAGAATGTATATGAAATATTCAAAGAACTTGTACAAACCAAGAAGGAAAGGAACCTAATAAGAGACTGGGAAAGGGCCAAGAGGCACAGAGTAGGAAACATGATGGCTAATAAAGATATGAAAATATGCTCATACCTCATTGATAATCAGTAAAATGCAGATTTAAACCACAATGAGATATCATTTCATACCTATTATAATACTATAATAGCATACTGTAAGTGTGGTTAAGGATGTGAGCAAAATACTCTGTGGAAAAATGGAGACTCTAAATTCCATTTCTTAAAAATGTAAAACTAAATAATTTACCATTTAGGGATATATATATATATGTAATATGTGTTATATATTAATTATTTAGCAATATATTAAATATATGCAAATATAGGTGATGATGATATATAAATAATGTATCATATATATATTTAATAATATAGTTTAAGTGATCAGGAAATGAAAAACACCAAATTTACTAAAGTAATTATCTTTGGAGGGGGTAAGGAGAAGTTGCCGTTAAGGAGGGGCACATAAGCAGTGTCAAAATATTAATAAAGTTTATTTCATCTGGGAAGGGAGGATATAGATGCTTATTATTCTTTTTAAAACTTAACATCTACACTTTATATGTTCTTTACCAAGTAAATATTTTTCATAAGAATTTTCATGTAAAAGAAGAGCCTCCAAATTTAAAAATACAACTTTCTTTTATAAATCAAAATATCTCCCAATAGATCATTTTTTTGATGATCACAGGTTTCACTTACAGTCTAGTCATTGGTCCATAAAGGCTGCAGAGTTGAAATGAAGTAAACATATAACCTAGGAGTCATCAAGACAAGGTGTAAGTAGACACAAAATATATCTATAGGAAAAATGTACAGAAATATGGGAAAGGGAATCTATAGGGGAAGTACATGTATGACCCAGTAGAAATTTTATTTTGTTTCAGGAATAATAGATATACAGAAATTGAGGCAAGTAAAAAGGGACAAATGGTTTCATTCCAAGAAAAACAGAATACATCTAATTTAAAAAGAAAGACCAGAAAGTAACTATACTTAAGACTGTTCATTCCTCAAAGAACAAAAGCAGAGACCTAAAAATTAATTTTCAACAAATGCCTTTTCCACAAATAGACATTTTCTATACTAACTGTGAAGCTAAGAGTTTTTTTTTAAAGATAGGGAAAGGAAAAGCTTATACTTTCAAGCAAGTATTATTTTTCAAAAGTAATATTGCACTGACAGTTTCTGTTACACTGTAGAAAACTCAAATTCCCATGTGGTATATCCAAGTTTTTAAGCAACTATAATTAACAAAAACAAATAAAAAGGGTGCACTTCTGTTTTGTTTCTTGTAGTACATAAGCTCTAAGTCCAACATTGAAAGGGTGCTTTCTGGACTACTGTCTCTGATATTCATCTGCCTCCTTTATTTTGCACACCAGCATATTCTTTGCCTTTTTTTCTAGTCAGAGCAATCAAGTTCATAGAGAACTGATTTCTTGTACCAGTTTAAGCCTAAATAGGCTTCTTTTGGCAGGTTTTGACACACCATTTTAGTTCTTCATCCTCATCACATGGACTGGGAAAGCAAACAACCTAAATTTAAATCCTAGATCTATAAGTAACAAATTATGGATCCTCTGGCAAGTTGCTAATGCTCTCTTAGTCTCAGATTTCTTATGTATTAAAATAACATAAAACCTTTGAATAATTGACTTTTAATGCTCAAATTTATTCAAACTTCTAGTTCAATGTAGATTTCAGTACAGGTGGTGGGATTCCCAGTTCTACTCACAGACCTTCCCGGTTGTACCTTCAAACACTGTCCCCAACTCTGGGTGTCAGAAGAGATGCTTTTCTGCTCTCTAGCTTCCTCAGCCCTAGTAGAAGCAACAGTCTCTGATGACACAGATAAAAATAGTACCTGTCCTATGGAGTCCTTATCTGAATTTTAGGTTTACTGTATAAATTTCGCAAATATCTCTCTTGTCCTTTTTTGGGAAATCACCGTTTTCCAATTCTGGAATAGTATCTTTGCCCTCTGCACTTTGATTTCTAACCTGTCTGAAAAACATTTATTTAGCTTAATGTTAAGGTCAATTTGCTGTCTTCATTTATCACCTGAGTTTTTTTCTCATCAGAGACCTTTGGCTACTATGAAGGCTTGTTTTCTCTATTAACCTCACACCACGCCCCATTTTCTTATGAAAACACCACACAGCATTATGTTACAGAAAATAAATCAGAAGACAACCCTTGATTAAAATCTCAGTCCTCTAACTTACTAAATATGTGAATTTTACCAAGTTTTTTAACCTACCCAAGACTCAGTCTTTTTCACCTACCTAATAGGGAATATATGCCGCCAAGTTAAGAGGCTAAAGATCAAATGCAATAATGCTAATGAATGTACCTTGAAAATTGTAGTTCTATACAGTGCAGAAGGTATTACCCATTCAACAAAGAGGCAATATAGCATAATGGTGAAGACAGAATCTGAAGTCAAACTACCAGAATTGGAATCTGGCTCTATTATTTACCTTTTAATATGTACAATGAGGTTTATAGCACCTACCTCATGGGATATTAGTTCAATGACATTGGCTATCATTGCTATTGTAAAATGCCTACTATGTGTTAGGCCTTATACCAGGTGCTGGTAATAAAATGGAGTTAAGATGGAGTTGGCTAACATCTTTGCCAAAGAAACCTCTGTCTCCTACTCCATATGTTATATTTTCTAAGTCCCTTAGATCATTCATACTTTACAGCAAAGAAAAATCTGAGTAATAAAGCATTTCCACAGAGTATCAAAATAAGACTCCACAATTCCACAATTTCTTTTCTGTAAAAATTTCCAGTGATAGCGACTCTAGTTTCTTTTCCTAATTTATCACTTGAGTTGAAACTCTCTTGTTGACTTCTGGGTAAACTATTTGGGATATGTTTCTATGAAATACAATTATTTAAGACAGTGTTTCTGAGAGTAACATCCAAAGACCACCTGATTTTTAATCACCTAAAATGCTAATTAACAGGTAGATTCCTAGACTCCATTTCAGACCTATTGATTCAAAAGCTCTGGCTGGAAGATGTGGGAGTCTGTATTTCTAGTAAGTTCCCAATGTGATTTTTATGCAAATCCCATTTGAGAATCACATTCCCAAGGAAAAAAAAAACCTCCACTATATAAAAAATCTGTAACCAAAGGATATACTAAAGAATAATGATACAAAGCTTCACAAAGGAGAAGACCAAAACTGACTTGAACATATACACCTTAACTGTGAGTGTTCAAGAAATTCCTATTTTAGGCCAAGGGAAAGGGTACAAAGGAGAGACTCAAAAAGCTAACCCATATTTCAGAAGCAGCAAAGAAAATGGTGTTTTTACAATAGTCACGCTTACTAAAATTGGGGTTTGGTGATCTCAGGAAATGGGAACAATTTATCTTAAACTCAGACAACTATAGACTGACCTCTGTGCTCCAATTCCTGGCATCTACTACAAACCTTGGATAATCTCTCAAATAAACCTTGCCAACTGGAAGTTAGGTTGGGCCTATGATCAATCAGAGGCAAGGTGAATTTTATCTTTTGGTTAAAGTAAACAGAAATAACCAATTAAATTTTAAGTTTATTCCTCTTGGTCTGATGAAGAGTTATAGATGTTACTGAGACACGGAAAAAAGTCAGGAAGCTCCAAACTCCTAGTGAATGGAAACTTTCCAAATAATAATTCAAAGCTAATGAATAAAATATTTCTCTACCCACCATGCTACAGTGGCCTGAGGTCTGCTCTGGTTCAGATAATAAATGTCTTTCAGGGTTCTAGTTCCTAAGATAGTTGGGAACTTAGCACTGTGACAAGGAAGAAAGAGACGCCCAACCTGCCCACACTAACCGTCCCGAACCACGTCTGGAGCAGCAGAGCGGGCGGAGCCGCGATTTCTCCTGCATCACTGCGCTCTCTCTTCTCCGCCTGCGTGAGCGCCGCCCACCCACTCGAGACGTGAACCCACTGGGCCTAGCCTCTCCTTCCCCCTCCCCTTGGCCTGGTGCTGAATCATGAGCCCAATATCTCCAAAAGGTAAAAATCGAAGAACAATGCCGCCCTCGGGGCCGCCTGAGTGGGGTACCAGGTCGGGGTGGGGCAGGAAAACTGAAAACCACAACTTAATGCTTCCCTTCTCCTCCAATTCCCCACCCAACCCTCAAATTAAAACGACTACTGCAGCGCCGCGGGGTGGGGGTGGGGGGGACTCCCAAGCGGGCGCCCTTTCTCCCGGTTGCTCGGGTCTGCAGGGCTCCGACCCGGGCCCGGCGCGCTCCGCCTCATTGTTCCAGCGCGCCGCCCGCCGCCAGAAGCCCGCGCCCTGCCAGGCCCGCGAGCTCGCAGCTCCCGGGGAAGCGGCGGCTGGGCATCCCCGACCCCTCACTCCTCGCCCCTCAGCCAGGTAACGACAGCCCCTCCCGCCTCGCCTTCCTGCCAACCTATCGCTAAAGCGGAACCAGAAGTCCCCCAGAGACAGGCGGTGGGTGCTGTCCAAATGCTGGGAGGAGGAGGACCCGCGCGGGGGCGCGGAGCGGGAGCGGGAGGCTCCGGCCTGCGCGAAGCTGCAACAGTCGCCCCACCGCGCGATTCCGGTTGCACGGGTACCGCCCGGCCATGGTTCCTCCCGCCGGACAGCGAGCAGCTCGGATGTGGCTCGTCTCCCAGCCCTTGGCCCGCCTCATCTCCAGAAGCAGAAAGCGAAGGGTCAGTCCCGGGGCGGGCTGCAGAAGTCACGACAGGCTTACTCACCCCAACTGTTCCTGTCCCTGCGGTTCTTGGCCATGGTGGTTGGGGGACTGGTGGCGGTGAGGCGCTGTCACTGCGCGGGCTCCTCTCCCCGGCTGCAGGTTGCTGGCGGTGGGAGGCTCTGTGCCCGCGCTGGACGCAGTTCGCTGAGACTCGGGGATGTCGCTGCGGCGCTGGTGAGAAGGAGCGGGGAGGAGAAGGGAGGAGAAAGAGGATGAACCAAGCTCAGCATCACAAGCCCGAGTTCACACAAATACCAGCGTCACACCCTCCCTGCCTCAGCCCACCCCCAGAGCGTGAAGACAGTGACAGACGATGTACCGCAACATTTTCAATGTAAAACACACCCACAAATAAACAGCACCTCGTCACTCACACTGTGAAGAATTTAACAGCATTATCCAGTCACAGAAATACACAAACCAGTATATACTGCATCATTCTGAATGTTCAAACACCCGTTTTCTAGAAGTTACACTGCAGTGCAGGCATCATTTACAGAGCCTAAGAAGTTAAAAAAAAATCTGCATTTATTTACCAGGCACCATCCTCCCTCTCCCACTCCCCATTTTTAAAGCAAGGCCATGTTAGAAAAGAAGGTATGGTACATTTTGGTATCTTTACACTGAACAGGCCTGTCTTTTAAAATTAGGATACCAAATTTAGATCAAGATCAAGATAAATGAAAGCTAACTAACTCAGTGTCTAGTGGGCAAATTTCCCACTAGATTTGCTGAGATAAAGTCTGAAGTTATATCAACAAATACTTTCAGTAAAGTAATACTACACAGCCTGGCTGAGCCTTGTCAGTCACAAAGGTTTCAGACAATTTTGAGTGGAAAGCAGAAGGCAATAAATACTTAAAAAATTCTCAATCTCTCCTTTCCACTGGTTTCTTCTCTCCACCTACAAACTTAGTTTTCAGCATTCTAGAAACACTGTCCCTTCATGCTACCTCAGGGTATCATCATCCCATTCCTCATCTCCTCTAAAAGCTTACTCTTGCATTTGGTTGTTGTGCACACCCTACAGATAGGTTCTGCCTGGGAGATTAGTACTAGCCTCTAAATTACAAGATCCTTGGTCTCTGCTTATTCCTCATCATAAGCAACTCCTCATTCTATGTTCCTCAATGTAATTTACTATGATGGCTTCAGACAGGACTTCCAGCTGATAATTCTTAAATCTCAGTTTCTAGTCTTAAGCTCTCTTAGAAGTCAACATACCAGAACTGAATTTATAACTGCCTGAGGTCACCTTCACTTGTTTTCCAGACACTTGGAAATCAACATTTCAAAAACCAAACTCTCTCATCCACTACTGCCAAATCTTATATATTGCATATTTCAGTTAATTGTTCTAGTGACCTCAGAGCTGTGAACACTGTAAACCAAATTTACATTATGGTTTTCAAGGGGACTGTTCAGTAGAGTTGCAACCCCCAAACACTAATGGAACAACATAGGAAGATAGAAATTATCTCACCCCTACAACTACAAATCAAATTCATAGGACAAAGGTGTGTTCTATTCTTCTTATATTTCTTCAATTTCTTATATTTCAAGTTTCTCTTGCATTTTCCCTGCCTCAGAACTAGAATCAATCACTTCTCTGGCTCCTTTTAATGAGAAAAGGAATTTAGACACCAACATCTGGACGCTAGTTGTGCTCATTGCTGGCTGGAGTTTCACTATTTCTAGACTCTTTCAGTGGACATTGTTAGAACATTTTTTTTTGGTATCATTAATCTACAATTACATGAGTGACATTATGGTTACTAGACTCCCTCCATCAAGTCCCCACCACATAGCCCATTAGAGTCACTGTCCACAAGTGTAGTAAGATGCTATAGAATCACTACTTGTCTTCTCTGTGTTGTACAGCCCTCCCTATGCCCCCCACCCCCTACATTAATGTCTGCTAATCGTAAAGCCCCTTGTTCCCCCTTGTCTCTCCCTTCCCACCCATCCTCCCCAATCCCTTTCCCTTTGGTATCTGTTAGTACATTCTTGGGTTCTGTGAGTATGCTGTTGTTTTGTTTTTTTCTTTGTTCTTATACTCCACATATGAGTGAAATCATTTGATACTTGTCTTTCTCCATCTGGCTTATTTCACTAAGCATAATACCCTCTAGCTCCATCCATGTTGTTGCAAATGGTAGGATGTGTTTTCTTCTTATGGCTGAATAATATTCCATTGTGTATATGTACCACATCTTCTTTATCCATTCATTGACTGATGGACACTTAGGTTGCTTCCATTTCTTGGCTATTGTAAATAGTGCTGCGATAAACATAGGGGTGCATCTGTCTTCTTCAACCTGGGCTGCTGCAGTCTTAGGTCAAATTCCTGGGTCAAATGGTATTTCTATTTTGAGTATTTTGAGGAACCTCCATACTGCTTTCCACAATAGTTGAACTAATTTACATTTCCACCAGCAGTGTAGGAGGGTTCTCCTTTCTCCACATCCTCGCCAAATTTGTTGTTGTCTGTCTTTAGGATGGCGGCCATTCTTCCTTGTGTGAGGTGATATCTCATTGTGATTTTAATTTGCATTTCTCTGATGACTAGTGATGTGGAGCATCCTTTCATGTGTCTGTTGGCCATCTGAATTTCTTCTTTGGAGAAGTGTCTGTTCAGATCCTCTGCCCATTTTTTAATTGGATTGTTTGTTTATTGAGGTGTGTGAGCTTTTTATATATTTTGGATGTGAATCCTTTATCGGATATTTCATTCATGAATATATTCTCCCATACTGTAGGATGTCTTTATGTTCAATTGATGATGTACTTTACTGTACAGAAGCTTTTCAGCTTGATATAATCCCACTTGTTCATTTTTGCTTTTGTTTCCCTTGCCTGGGGAGATATGTTCATGAAGAAATTGCTCATGTTTATGTACAAGAGACTTTTGCCTATGTTTTTTTCTAAGAGTTTTATGGTTTCATGACATATATTCAGATCTTCGATCCATTTTGAATTTACTTTTGTGTATGGGATTTGACAGTGATCCAGTTTCATTCTCTTACATGTAGCTGTCCAGTTTTGCCAACACCAGCTGTTGAAGGGGCTGTCATTTCCCCAGTGTATATCCATGGCTCCTATATTGTATATTAATTGACCGTATATGTTTGTATTAATATCTGGACTCTCTATTCTGTTCCACTGGTCTATGGGTCTGTTCTTGTGCCAGTACCAAATTGTCTTGATTACTGTAGCTTTGTAGTAGAGCTTGAAGTCAGGAAGCAAGATCCCCTCTACTTTATTCTTCCTTCTCAGGATTGCTTTGACTATTCAGGGTCTTTTGTGGTTCCATATAAATTTTAGAACTATTTGTTACAGTTTGTTGAAGATTGCTGTTGGTATTTTGATAGGGATTGCATTGAATATGTAGATTGCTTTAGGCAGGATGGCCCTTTTGACAATATTAATTCTTCCTAGCCAAGAGCATGGGATGAATTTTCATTTGTTAGTGTTGTCTTTAATTTCTCTTAGGAGTGTCTTGTAGTTTTCGTGGTATAGGTCTTTCACTTCCTTGGTTATGTTTATTTCTAGGTATTTTATTCTTTCTGATGCAACTGTGAATGGACTTGTTTTCTTGATTTCTCTTTCTGCTAGTTTATTGTTAGTATATAGGAAAGCCTCAGATTTCTATGTATTAATTTTGTATCCTGCAACTTTGCTGAATTCAGATATTAGCTCTAATAGTTTTGGAGTGAAGTCTTTAGGGTTTTTTATGTACAATATCATGTCATCTGTAAATAGTGACAGTTTGACTTCTTCTTTGCCAGTCTGGATGCCTTGTATTTCTTTGTGTTGTCTGATTGCCATGGCTAGGAGCTCCAGTACTATGTTGAATAACAATGGGGAGAGTGGGCATCCCTGTCTTGTTCCTGATCTTAGGTGAAAAGCTTTCAGCTTATTGCTGTTAAGTATGATGTTGGCTGCAGATTTGTCATACATGGCCTTTATTATGTTGAGGTACTTGCCCTCTATACCCATTTTGTTAAGTGTTCTTATCACGAATGGATGTTGAATTTTGTTGAATGCTTTTACAGCATCTATGGAGATGATTATGTGTTTTTTGTCCTTTTTGTTGATGTGGTGGATGATATTGATGGATTTTTGAATGTTGTACCATCCTTGCATCCCTGAGATGTATCCCACTTCATCATGGTGTATGATCCTCTTGTTGTATTTTTGAATTCGATTTGCTAATATTTTGTTGAGTATTTTTGCATCTATGTTCATCAGGGATATTCATCTGTAATTTACTTTTTTGGTGGGGTCTTTGCCTGGTTTTGGTATTTGAGTGATGCTGGCTTCATAGAATGAGTATGGAAGTATTCCCTCCTCTTGTATTTTTTGGAAAACTTTAAGGAGAATGGGTATTATGTCTTCTCTATATGTCTGATAAAATTCAGCAGTGTATCTATCTGGCCTGAGGGTTTTGTTCTTGGGTAGTTTTTTGATTACTGATTCAATTTTGTTGCTGGTAATTGGTCTGTTTAGATTTTTGGTTTCTTCCTTGGTCAGTCTTGGAAGATTGTATTTTTCTAGGGACTTGTCAATTTCTTCTAGGTTTTTCAGCTTGTTAGCATACAGATTTTCATAGTATTCTCTAATAATTCTTTGTATTTCTGTGAGGTCCATCATGATTTTTCCTTTCTCATTTCTGATTCTGTTTATGTGTGTAGATTCTCTTTTTCTCTTAATAAGTCTGGCTAGGGGTTTATCTATTTTGTTTATTTTCTCAAAGAACCAGCTCTTGGTTTCATTGATTTTTTCTATTGTTTTATTCTTCTCAATTTTATTTATTTCTTCTCTGTCTTTATTATTTCCCTCCTTCTGCTGACTTTGGGCCTCATTTATTCTTCTTTTTCCAATTTCAATAATTGTGACTTTAGACTATTCATTTGGGATTATTCTTCCTTCTTTAAATAGGCCTGGATTGCAATATATTTTCCTCTTAGATCTGCCTTCTCTGTGTCCCACAGAAGTTGGGGCTTTGTGCTGCTGTTGTCATTTGTCTCCATATATTGCTGATCTCTGTTTTAATTTGGTCATTGATCTATTGATTATTTAGGAGCATGTTGTTAAGCCTCCATATGTTTGTGAGCCTTTTTATTTCCTTTGTACAATTTATTTCTAGTTTTATACCTTTGTGATCTAAGTTGGTTGAATTTCAATGTTTTTGAATTTGCTGAGGTTCTTTTGTGGCCTAGCATGTGGTCTATTCTGGAAAATGTTCCATATGCAGTTCAGAAGAATGTGTATTCTTCTGCTTGTGAGTGTAGAGTTCTGTAGATGTCTGTTAAGTCCATCTGTTCTAGTGCATTGTTCAGTGCCTC